AGTGAGTGTCCCCTCAAATTAACTCAACACGCAGCCATTAATGTCTAAACCGCTGGCAACAAAAGTGAGTACACCCCCTAAGTGAAAATGTCCAAATTGGGCCCAATTAGCCATGTTCCCTCCCCGGTGTCATGTGACTCATAAGTGTTACAAGTTGTCAGGTGTGAATGGAGAGCAGATGTGTTTAAATTTTGGTGTTATCACGTTCCCCTGGGGGGTATATATTTAATTGTACCTGTTAGGGAACCTTTAGGCCCACCTCCTTTTTGGCTACTTTATTTTTCATGCCGCTCAACAGTAAAACTCCTTAGTCCAAATTCTGGGAAGAAGATGGGGGGAGAAGATTTAAAATCCCCTCCTTCCCGAACTCCATATCTCCAATGACCTGTGCTTTACTGCTTCTTATCTTCTTCTCTTTTTGAACCCCCTAGGTCAGGGGTCTGCAACCTTTAAGACATAAAGAGCCACTTGGACCCGTTTCCGAGAGGGAAAAAAAGACTGGGAGCCGCAAAACCATTGCAACATTTAAAACAAATCCGACACTGCATATATTGCGAAAAGCGCTCTGGTCATGAAGGGGGTTTAAGAAACCCAGTAAGCAAAGGGTTAACCAGGGCCACAGTGTATCGTCATAATCACAATCATAGCCTTAGGTCAGTGGTGGGCAACCTTTTTTTTCAACTGAGCCAAATCTCGCCAAAACCAACGATTGAAATTTATTTTGAGAGAAACATTTTTAAAACTGAAAATACATCCCCCATATAGTAATTCACCCCCATAGTAATTCATCCCCCATATAGTAATTCATCCCCCATATAGTAATTCATCCCCCCCATAGTAATTCATCCCCCATATAGCAATTCATCCCCCTATAGCAATTCATCCCCATAATAGTAATTCATCCCCCATATAGTAATTCATCATCCCCCATATAGTAATTCATCCCCCCTATAGTAATTCATCCCCCCTATAGTAATTCATCCCCCATATAGTAATTCATCCCCCATATAGTAATTCATCCCCCCATTTAGTAATTCATCCCCCATAGTAATTCATCCCCCATATAGTAATTCATCCCCCATATAGTAATTCATCCCCCATAGTAATTCACCCCCATATAGTAATTAATTCATCCCCCATAGTAATTCATCCCCCATATAGTAATTCATCCCCATATAGTAATTCATCCCCCATATAGTAAATACATTCATCCCCCATAGTAATTCATCCCCCATATAGTAATTCATCCCCCATATAGTAATTCATCCCCCCCTATAGTATTTCATCCCCCATATAGTAATTCATCCCCCATATAGTAATACATCCCCCATATAGTAATACATCCCCCCATATAGTAATTCATCCCCCATAGTAATTCATCCCCCATATAGTAATTCATCCCCCATATAGTAATTCATCCCCCATAGTAATTCATCCCCCCTATAGTAATTCATTCCCCTGTGTCAATTCACTTACCTTTGCTCCGCGCGTTCCTCTAGCTGTGTTCCCGCGCCGTTCTGGTCTTCAGGGCGGACTGTGAGAGGAGAGGAGTTCGTCACGCTGCCCCGCCTACATCCTGACAGCCAATGTTTGGAGGAGGGAGGGGAGCGGCGCGCGCCGGCACATAGAAGAGCTGCATTAAAAGAGCCGCGGCTTGCCGACCCTATTGCCTGTCACCTGGTGGGCAGTGTGCTCCGGAGCCGCAGAAAGGTGAAAAAGAGCCGCATGCGGCTCCGGAGCCGCGGGTTGCCGACACCCGCCCTACCTAGGTAATCTCCCCCTATCCATTCATATTACCATACAGTTCTTTCACTTAAGTATAGTATACATAGTTAACTTGGCCGCTCTCACTCACCCTCTTGTTATCTTCCTTCTTATGCAGGCCAGCTTCCTTATTTCCTTCTAGTTTCTGTTTTGTTCTGTATAGTTCTCTTTTTCATTTTTTCAGGGGGAGATACGTCTGCTCCTTCCTAGGGTAGAGAGGGGAAACTTCCCCCCCCCCCCTTCCCCCCTCTTAGGTCCACTTCCGCCTCGGTTTTCCGTCGTCAGTAACCCTCATACCGGGTTGCTATGGAGAGCCGGCGTCCTCCTTCAGACAGGGGCGCCGGCCAGCTTCTCCCCTTCCCAGCACTCCTCTGTGGCAGGTCACGTGCTCAATCATGTCCCTCCTGACACCGGGCCCGCCCATTGCGTCAAACAGAAACCATCCCTCGACAGCGTCCACCACTCGTCCCGCGACCCCCGCACTCCACAATCTCTCTCCAGACTCACCTCTTCCAGGTAGGTCTAACTGCAGTTCATCTCTCGATGGGGGATTTTGACAGGTTTCCCTGAGGGATAGACGGCGGTTTGACGGAGAGCTCTTACATCGAGCTCTCCCTCACCGTCATGTGCTTTTCACAGATGAGAGCAGGTTCATCCTGAGCACATGTGATAGACGTGAAAGGGTCTGGAGAAGCCGTGGAGAATGTTCTGCTGTCTGTAACATTCAGCATGACCGTTTTGGTGGTGGGTCAGTGATGGTCTGGGGAGGCATATCTATGGAGGGACGCATAGACCTCTACAGCTAGACAATGGCACCCGAGTGACATTAGGTATCAGGATGAAATCCTTGGAACCCATTGTCAGACCTTACACTGGTGAAGTGGGTCCTGGTTCCTCTTGGTGCACAACAATGCCCGACCTCATGTGGCAAGAATATGCAGGCAGTTCCTGATGATGAAGGAATTGATACCATTGTATGGCCCCCACGCTCGCCTGACCTAAATCCAATAGAACACCTCTGGGATATCATGTTTTGGTCCATCCGACACCGCCAGGTTGCACCTCAGACTGTCCAGGAGCTCAGTGATGCCCTAGTCCAGATCTGGGAGTAAATAGCCCAGGACACCATCCGTTGTCTCATTAGGAGCATGCCCCGACATTGTCAGGCCTGCCTACAAGCTCATGGGGGTCATACAAACTACTGAGTACCATTTTCAGTTGCTGCACTGAATTTCAGCAAAATGGACTAGCTTGCTAACATAATTTTTACACTTTGATTTTTGGGGTGTCTTTGAATTCAGTTCTCTGTAGTTCGATAATTTTCATTTCCATCAAACAATGGGGCATCCTTACATTCCTAACACATTACCCAGTCCATATCAGTATAGATATCCAGCATGATATTTTTCCCCATTGAGTTCTGATGTGTTTTCAAAGTGTTCCTTTAATTTTTTTTGAGCAGTGTATATTAATAAGGATATATACAGTATATATATTTAATTACATAGTTAGATTTACCTATAAATGTGTCAGGAATGGACTAGCCAGCAATGGTGGGACTCACCTGCCTTTTGATCTGCAGTACCAGGGCTGGCCAGCGGGTGCTCCCAGCAATCAGAGACTCAACTTTGCAGCCAGCTAACACCTGGAACTGATTATGCTGGGGTATTTAAGGGATGGCCAGACTTGCAGACTCTGCCTTGGTGTTGTGTTCTCTTGGGCCCTGTATCCTGTTCCTGCTCTCTGTTCCTGTCTGATTCTCTGCTGACCCTGCTCTGATCCCTGGCTTGTCTGACCATCCCTCTGCCTGACCCTCTGTACTACGCTGCTTGCTACCTGTTCTGATCCCTGGCTTGTGACCCTGACCATCCCTCTGCCTGACCCTCTGTACTACGCTGCTTGCTACCTGCTGAACCTGGCTTGTGACCCCGACCCATCTCCGCTTGCTCCCCCTGTACCTACCTGCCCTATTGATATTGACCCGGCCTGCCTGACGACGCTTGCTTGTATGTACTGTTATCTGTGGGTGGTTGGTTTGGTTTGTTTGCACTGTATTATGTTTTAGTATTGCACTGCGTTTATGTTTGTATTGTTAGTGTTAATAAATTATATTGTTTATAACATATCTGAGGTCTGCGTTTCCCTGCGTCAGCCACACACCCTCTGGTCACACCTGGGAGCCCTGACATTACACCAAGGCCAATCCTGACCAGAAGTGGCTGCACAGGGAAGCCATCTTGGCTTGTTGCTGGGAAGGATGGATCTGGATGAGGTTGTGTATTTATATCTGCTAGTGTTTGATGACAGGGAGTATGCTTATCAAACTCTGAAGGAGTATCCCTGGGATGAACTGCTAGAATGTATACGGCTCGCTCATGTTCTAGTAGATCAGGACAGAGTTCTCTGAGGTGCAGCCATTGATTGAGGTTTGTGCTGAGTTGGTTTCATCTGGTTCCCCCGAATGCAGGGATGAATTTTTGCCACCATTTAGTGCAGACCAGGTAGAGTCCCTGGTGTGGTTATTAGAGGATGATGTGGGTTACTTTCTGGAGTGTTATTCCACATGTTCACCACAGACACTAAGAGATTGTATAAACGCAGTGCAGTCATTGGTCAGACAGGCTTTGTGTAAGCTCAGCTTTGTTCAACCCCTACTGCAGACATGGACAGACTTGTTGCACCCAGCCTCAGTCAGCTTACAAAGACCCAGTCCTGCTTCTAACTCTACTCCTGTATTCCCACCAGCTCCTCCAGTTACAGCCCAGTATACTTGGCTATCTACCGCATGTCAGTACCCTGTTCCCACTCGCTGCACCTATCCTGCCTTTAACCCTGTAAAAAAGCCCTCTGTAGCAACTGCTCCCTCTCCTGTTCCATCCTCCAGTTTTTCTCTGTCTCCAGCTGCTCCATTCGTTTGCAGACCTGCGTTTACTTGCAGTGCTCCAGTAGTTAAAACCAGAAAAAAGCGAAAATTCTTTCCAACCAATACCATCCTGCCAGTATCCAAACCGGTGAACCTGCCTTCCGTGACTCAGCCTGAAGCCTCTACTCAGCCGGAAGCCTCTACTCAGCCGAAGCCTCTACTCAGCCGGAAGCCTCTACTCAGCCTGATGCCTCTACTCAGCCTGATGCCTCTACTCAGCCTGATGCCTCTCCTCAGCCTGATGCCTCTCCTCAGCCTGATGCCTCTCCTCAGCCTGATGCCTCTCCTCAGCCTGATGCCTCTCCTCAGCCTGATGCCTCTCTTCAGCCTGATGCCTCTCTTCAGCCCTGATGCCTCTCTTCAGCCGATGCCTCTCTTCAGCCGGATGCCTCTCCTCAGCCTGATGCCTCTCCTCAGCCTGATGCCTCTCCTCAGCCTGATGCCTCTCTCCTCAGCCTGATGCCTCTCCTCAGCCTGAAGCCTCTCCTCAGCCTGAAGCCTCTCTTCAGCCTGAAGCCTCTACTCAGCCTGAAGCCTCTACTCAGCATGATGAACTGATCCAGCCCGACGATCCTATTAGGCCAGTTGACTCGATGCCCGCTGTTGATCCAGATGATCCGGTACCTGATCCGGTGCCCGCTGTCGTGCCAATTGACTCAGAGCCCCGCTGTCATACCTGGTGACCCGGTGCCCACTGCCTTGCCAGATGACGCGGTGCCCGCTGGCAAGCCAAATGACCTGATGCCTGGTGACCCAGTGCCCGCTGTCATACCTGGTGACCCGATGCCCGCTGTCGAGCCAGACAATCCGATACCTGATGACCCGGTGCCCACTGTCGTGCCTGTTGACTCGGTGCCCGCAGTCTTGCCAGACGACTTGGTGCCCGCAGTCTTGCCAGACGACTCGGTGCCCGCAGTCTTGCCAGACGACTCGGTGCCCACTGTCGTGCCTGGTGACTCGGTGCCCGCCGCTTCGCCTGGGGGCCCGAGACCTGTCGCTCCCGCCTGAGGGCCCGAGACCTGTCGCTCCATCTGGGGGTCCGGCGCCCGCCGCTCCGCCTGAGGGCCCGAGACCTGTCGCTCCATCTGGGGGTCCGGCGCCTGCCGCTCCGCCTGAGGGCCCGAGACCTGTCGCTCCGCCTGGGGGTCCGGCGCCCGCCGCTCCGCCTGAGGGCCCGAGACCTGTCGCTCCGCCTGGGGGTCCGGCGCCCGCCGCTCCGCCTGAGGGCCCGAGACCTGTCGCTCCGCCTGGGGGTCCGGCGCCCGCCGCTCCGTCCTGAGGGCCCGAGACCTGTCGCTCCGCCTGGGGGCCCGAGACCTGTCGCTCCATCTGGGGGTCCGGCGCCCGCCGCTCCGCCTGAGGGCCCGAGACCTGTCGCTCCGCCTGGGGGTCCGGCGCCCGCCGCTCCGCCTGAGGGCCCGAGACCTGTCGCTCCGCCTGGGGTCCCGCGCCCGCCGCTCGCTCCGCCTGAGGGGCCCGAGACCTGCTCGCTCCGCCTGGGGGGCCCGAGACCTGTCGCTCCATCTGGGGGTCCGGCGCCCGCCGCTCCGCCTGAGGGCCCGAGACCTGTCGCTCCATCTGGGGGTCCGGCGCCCGCCGCTCCGCCCTGAGGGCCCGAGACCTGTCGCTCCATCTGGGGGTCCGGCGCCCGCCGCTCCGTCTGAGGGCCCGAGACCTGTCGCTCCATCTGGGGGTCCGGCACCCGCCGCTCCGCCTGAGGGCCCGAGACCTGTCGCTCCATCCTGGGGGTCCGGCGCCCGCCGCCCCGCCTGGGGGCCCGATGCCTGTCGCCCCTCCTGGGGGCCCGGTGCCTGTCGCCCCTCCCTGGGGGCCCGCTGCCTGTCGCCCCTCCGGGGGCCCGGTGGCCTGCTGCCTGTCGCCCCTCCGCCCGGGGGCCCGCTGCCTGTCGCCCCTCCGCCCGGTGGCCCGCTGCCTGTCGCCCCTCCGCCCGGTGGCCCGCTGCCTGTCGCCCCTCCGCCCGGTGGCCCGCTGCCTGTCGCCCCTCCGCCCGGTGGCCCGCCCGCTCCGCCCGGTGGCCCGCTGCCTGCCGCTTCGCCTGGTAATCCGATGTGCCTCTGCCCGGAGTCCTGCCCGATGTGCCTCTGCCCGGAGTCCTGCCCGATGTGCCTCTCCTGCCCGAGTGCCTGCCCGATGTGCCTCTGCCCGGAGTCCTGCCCGATGTGCCTCTGCCCGGAGTCCTGCCCGATGTGCTCTGCCCGGAGTCCAGCCCGATGTGCCTCTGCCCGGAGTCCAGCCCGATGTGCCTCTGCCCGGAGTCCAGCCCGATGTGCCTCTGCCCGGAGTCCAGCCCGATGTGCCTCTGCCCGGAGTCCAGCCCGATGTGCCTCTGCCCGGAGTCCTGCCCGATGTGCCTCTGCCCAATGTGCCTCTGCCCGGTGTGCCTCTGCCCGGAGTCCTGCCCGATGTGCCTTTGCCCAATGTGCCCCTGCCCGGTGTGCCAGTCTTTGATATCCCGCCAGTTACCAGACCCGGGCGGTGGAACATTTTGCCCAGCTAGGACTGTTTGGAGCGTCCTGAGGCCGCTCCTTGAGGGGGGGGGGGTACTGTCAGGAATGGACTAGCCAGCAATGGTGGGACTCACCTGCCTTTTGATCTGCAGTACCAGGGCTGGCCAGCGGGTGCTCCCAGCAATCAGAGACTCAACTTTGCAGCCAGCTAACACCTGGAACTGATTATGCTGGGGTATTTAAGGGGATGGCCAGACTTGCAGACTCTGCCTTGGTGTTGTGTTCTCTTGGGCCCTGTATCCTGTTCCTGCTCTCTGTTCCTGTCTGATTCTCTGCTGACCCTGCTCTGATCCCTGGCTTGTCTGACCATCCCTCTGCCTGACCCTCTGTACTACGCTGCTTGCTACCTGTTCTGATCCCTGGCTTGTGACCCTGACCATCCCTCTGCCTGACCCTCTGTACCACGCTGCCCGCTACCTGCTGAACCTGGCCTGTGACCCCGACCATTCTCCGCTTGCTCCCCCTGTACCTACCTGCCCTATTGATATTGACCCGGCCTGCCTGACGACGCTTGCACTGTATGTACTGTTATCTGTGGGTGGTTGGTTTGGTTTGTTTGCACTGTATTATGTTTTAGTATTGCACTGCGTTTATGTTTGTATTGTTAGTGTTAATTATATTGTTTATAACATATCTGAGGTCTGTGTTTCCCTGCGTCAGCCACACACCTCTGGTCACACCTGGGAGCCCTGACAAAATGTTAGTAACCAATTATATTCTGTGTATCCAGAATATGCAGTCCTTTTTTAAAGCCACTGAGCTGGCCAGAACCAACTCTTGAGGGAGTCTATTCCACATTTTCACAGCTCTTACTGTAAAGAAACCTTTTCGTATTTGGAGATTAAATTTCTTTTCCTCCAGATGTAAATAGCGCCTCCTTGTCCTCTGTGATGACCTTTTAAGGTGAATAACTCTACCCCGAGTTCACTATATGAACCACTGATGTATTTATACATGTTGATCATGCCCCCCTTAATTTCCTCTTCTCAAGAGAGAATAAATTCAGTTCCTCTAATCTTTCCACATAGCTGAGCTCCTCCATGCCTCTTATCAGTTTGGTTGCCCTTCTCTGTACCTTCTCCAGTTCCCCAATGTCATGTTTCACTTGCCTGTCATATGCCTTTTAAGTGTTTCTATATTTTGTTTCTGCTCCTCTCTTTCCTTTGGTTTAGTTAATGCTGTATAGATAGCCCACCCCTCTTCCCAGTAATGCATTACAGCTCTAGCCTCATGTCATGGAGCAGGAAACATTATGATCTTTTGACCTATCGAATGTTCATTGTTGTAAGATTCTCTCAGTTTATGGAATAAACGTCACAAGATCTACAACATGTCTTTTCAATTGAGTCACTGATGGTGGTATCCAACTGAGGTTGAAGTTATCGATATCTCATCACAACTGTAAGTTGTAGAGATCACGCTATCAATGCTTAGATTGGAGAGACAGAACAGTCAAAAGATCTGTGGAATGCTTCGTATGATCCTTGCAAGTCAAAGTATCAGTGAAATGTCTTTATAAGAATCCTTGCTAGCTAGAATACACAGTGAGATGTTACATGGATACTGGATATAACCACTATAGAGAGTGCAGCCACCTCTACACAAGTCTGTACATGCCTCCAAGTATATCCCAGCATAACACTCATCAGTGTCAGGACAGATTATTGATGTGAATGTTTTACAACTGCAAGTTTATTCACTGCATCTGTATGCATTACCACATAGCTTGCCTGTGAACTTCTAAAAAAGAAAAAGAAAACCACCTGCAATAATTGCCTAGGAAACGTGAACTCATCCACAGAAAAAGTGATTACATTTCTCTAAACTTTCTATCAACCCCTCTCCTTGCTAACATGATGTTTCAGGAAAGTAACATACAGTCTGGGGAAACTAATACACAACCACAATCAGAGCTTCATCCAGAGCAGTACTTAGATAAAAGAGAAAAACGCTTAAGAAATCCAACCTGGAAAGTGCAAGAACATCTCAATGCTGACCAGTTAGAATTGCTGTCTAATATTAATGACTTCTGGTCTAATACTGTTAAATGCATGTCTGCTCTCTCCCAACAATCTCATGAGCCAATACAACTAGAGGGCGCTATCCAGCAATTGAATGTTGCTTATGAGAATTATCAAAGACTGTGTGTTAAATATATTGCTCTATTAAAGTGGTACACCACTCAAAGGTCATTGAAAGAATTAAGGAGTTTTGAGGAGCTCAATCTTGAAAGACAATTTAGTGGTGCGAACAAAGACAAAGGCAGAAGTGAGAATAACACAGCTCTATGAATCCAGATCTTATCACTCTGTGTCTACTAGACGCTCTTCAAGATTTTCAAAATCCCTGCAATCAAGGTCTTCTACACTGTCAACAACTAATAAAAGTCCGTGATGATGCTGAAGCTTCTAAAATTCAGGCAGCTTTTGCCCAAAAGAAAGCAGAAATGGAGGCTCAGGCCGCACATAAATCAGAAATGGAGGCTCAGGCCGAAATCAGAAATGGAGGCTCAATGGAGGCTCAGGCCGCATATAAGAAAGCAGAAATGGAGGCTCAGGCTGCATATAGGAAAGCACAAATGGAGGCTCAGGCCACACAAATGGAGGCACAGGCCGCACATAAGGTAGAAATGGAGGCTCAGGCCGCACAAATGGAGGCGCAGGCCGCATATAAGAAAGCAGAAATGGAGGCTCAGGCCACATATAAGAAAGTAGAAATGGAGGCTCAGGCCGCAGAAATGGAGGCTCAGGCCGCAGAAATGGAGGCTCAGGCCGCATATAAGAAAGCAGAAATGGAGGCTCAGGCCATACATCAGAAAGCAGAGAGAGAAGCTGAAGCCACATGCCAAGGAGCAGAAATTGAAGTTTTGGAAAAACAATGTGAACATGCCACAGCCATGGCAAGGTTACGGGTCTTAGAACAAGCCATTAGTGAAAACGAAAGAGACAACAGTTCCAGACACTCAGTTGTATCTTATGTCTCAGATTCTTCACACACCTCTCCAGAATGTCAAATCCCTGTCACAGCAGCCAAAGTACTCAAAGTCTCTTCTCTGCACCTACTGTACCTCAAGACGATTTGCCCTTATATCCTCCAATACATCAGACTGCAGCATCTCAGCTAGCCGTAGACACTGGTGTGTATTTAATAGACCGTCGATCTTACTTTGGCACCAACAGAGTACCTCCTAGCAAACGCGCTACTCTACAAAGCAACATGCCAATGGACTTTAAGCTAGCTCCGGCATTGAATGCCTTAGCAGCAACATACGTTCCTAAGTCACTCCACGTAAGTCCACCAACCGTCACAACCAACTCTGTTCCACCTGCAGTCATGCACCCAAAATCGGAAAGCACGGACATGTCACAGTTTGCTAAATACATGCTCCACAGAGAGCTTGTTAAGACAGGCCTCACCAATTTTGATGACAAGCCTGAGAATTAAAGGCTGGAAATCCACTTTTAAGGCCACAATGAGTGAGTGACCTAGACAATGAGTGAATGCCATCAATGCCAGAGAATTACATCTACTCATCAGATGGCTAGGTCTGCAGTCTACTGAATGCATCAAGAGACTCAAAGCAGTTCATATTGACAACCCTGCTGCAGGCCTTAATGTTGCTTGGGGCAGACTTGAACATACCTTTGGCAGCAAAGCTTCCCAAGGATTTCTGCTAGCGACAATCTAAAGTTTCAAGAACTCAGCGATGTTCTATTAGAGCTTCAACTTGCTAACTATGACATCAACTTACCTGGTCTCAGTTACCTTGACACCTCCTTTCACCTTCATTCACCTTTA